CGGGCCGCCAGTTGGCCATCGCTGATCTAGACAATCGGCTCAAAGGTGGCGGTGAGGTTGTCAGCCCTAAGCGCTGGCCGCGCTTTACTCCCCAGGAAAATTATTTAATTAATTCCTGGCACTCATTTCTGTTAGAGGCTGAGTCGACTCCAGCGCCATAGTGAGGCTGGAAGGATAAGGACAATTGAAAAAATCCAGTGACCTCATCGGGAATTTAACCCGCGACCTTCTGGCTTGTAGCATAGCCCCTCAATCAACTACGCTACCGCGTGCCGCCGTGATGTTACTTGCACGTGAGATAAATAAATAAATAAATTTAAAAACATATTTGGAACTATTTCAAAAGCACTAAAGTTGGCAGGAAATGTGCAACAGATATATTGAGGTTTTACAGATTTATGCCAGGGCCGATATTACGAGGGAGAGTCAGTAAATAGGCATAAATGAATTTATAATGCAAAACATATGATATTCGACCCTGAAAAAAACATTTTTTTCTCGACATATCCTCCACCAACACTGATAAACAAGCCCCATCACTTTACCAGTGCGTCGAGAAAGTCTTTTGACTGTTGTCTCAGCCACTCCCGCTCCTCCGTTTCAATATCTTCGTCATCAGTGAAACGTTATTCACCCAGTTGTGAACCGTTTTACTCGACAAATACTTCCAACCGTAAACAGGAAACATTTATTTATGAATATCCTGTACACTGGGTTTTTTGCCCACAAAAACGACAACAGAACGCTGCTCTTCGTTAGTACACGTACATTCCTCAAGCACGGTCGCCATTTTGACTACTGAAACCATCCTCTGAACATGCGCATGCGTGTCTGCTATCTAGACTGTCATGAAGCTGGGCTGTGCTGCCACCTAATGATACACATAGAAATGCCATTACATCAATTGCAGCTGTTTTGCTTCTGTTTGTGACCTATTTACTGTCTCTCTCTCTCTCGTATTATATGATCTTGGATCTTGGACTATGGAGTTAAGAACTGGATGAATATACAGACAGCCGAGTTGATACTTTTAAGGTCTATAAAATGTTGCAGTAAAACAAACAAAATAAGTAATTAAGATATAAGGACATTACCGGAAATTTTCTTACCGAATAAAAAAAGAAATATATAAGAGAGTAGAAATGGAAGGAATGACATGTGGCACGACAGAGGAAGTGATGGAAAGAGTCATAAATGGGGCTGATACAGGCTAATGCCCAATCCATGAAGGAAAAGATCCATTTTTAATATTTTTCTTGCATCTCTACCCCCAGTTTCCAAATACAAATTACCCTAGAGTTCCCTTCATCAAAATTCTGAATGTACGTATTTCTTGCCTCAACTTTCTTCGCCTCGTACGGATCCTATCGTAGTCTCCCCGAAACACCTCCAAGCCTAAGCACCGTCGAAATAATTTACCACGGAAACGAATCTAACATCCGCGCACTAGAACAAGTTGCTATCTTCATGTGTCGAAAGTCGTAATTCCATGACACCCCGTCCGTTAGCCATGAGACAGAGGTTAAGTGGAGCCCAGAGCTGCTATGAAAGGAAAAGTTTTGAACATCTGCACAGGGGAATCGAAATCCAGCCATCCAGTCCAGAAGCAAACAGCTTAACACATAAAGCCTCTGCTAGAAACCATAGGAATCAAACGAGGGTAGGTGGCTCAAGTGGTGAAATCGTGACATCAATGATTCTACTGACATGAATATGTCGCCGGCTATGCGACCGGGGGCATTTTAGGAAGGGGTCTTGAGTGAGGTAAAAGGTAAAATTGTCCCTGTTCTTAGTTAATTAAGCACTAAGACATGATGACATCGAGGAGTGGAGGTATAGTTCCACGATTCTCAACCTCGGTACTAGACGGAGGTGAGTGGTCAGCGTCACACCCCGGCCGCTTTACTGCTGAGCCCCCGGTCCCCATTGGCTAGAAGTCTGGGTGATCCCCAGAGACGGTCTGGAGACTGTGGAGGACAGAAAAATCTTGCACTGCCGGGAGTCAAACCCGGCCGTCCAGGCCCTACTCCGTCGCTATACCGACTGAGCTACGGATTCTCCAAGAACGAGAAAACATTTATGACAGTCACAATGATGTGTTGTAGGATTTGAGGTTCTCACAGAGGTAGTTATAAAATTTGCCATCTTCTGGGATATAGCGCCGTGTAGTACGTATATGAAACGACGTTTCGGATGAATGTATCACTTCCATCTTCAGGCCTGCTCTCGCTGGTTTCTTGCTCGGCTGATTTTCAGTCCTGAAGATTGAGGTGGTATATTCCTTCGAAACGTCGGCTCATATGCGTACTACACGGCGTTATATCCCAGAGGACTGAAAATTTCATAATGACGTGTTCATCGTCCGCTGATGATCGCAAAACATGCGGTGATTTTCGCTCTATGTAACGTCTCTCTGTCTAGTGCCGAAGACGATTAAATGTTCAGTCTGTGTTAACATGTCGCATAAATCGAGAGTTTACGGTGTAAGTAATTTAAAGCAGACAAGAAAATAAATGGACCAAAGCAAGAAAAACTCACAAAAGAAAAAAATAAGAAACAAGCCCTAATTCCAACACAGAATAATAGCTGATGATTGTTTAACAAAATGACGTAAGATGTACCTAAGCAAAACGCTTGTTCTTGTTCTAATTATTTCAGTCTGTCTTCTGTTTCTCTGTAGATTCATATGGAACGCAATGATACGTTTTCCCAGTTTCCCTGCATCAACAAAGGCCGGAAACCCATGCCTTATACTGATTAAAACTGGTTAAATTACTGACAAATGTGTAAGATGAACATGAAACACAGTCGATGCTTCACACGTGTAGAAGGACGTGACTAATTCTTTCAAGATATAACCTTCTTGAGAAATTCACAATTTTTAGTTGGCCACGACATTCCCCGCCTTTTATAGGACCCGAAATGTCATTACCGTGCTTAAAAGAGCTCACCACGGCCCTTATCTTCAGCGGATATCTCCAACTCACGCCCTGGTACTGTATATTTTAAAGGTACATTTTAATATTATCCTTTCATCTGCGCCTAGATACTCTAAGCAGTATCTTCCTGTCAGACTTTTCAAAAAATCCTGTATGCACCGCTCGTGTTACATGCTATATGCTCCGCCCATCACGTTTTGAGAAGCGTCCAAATTATGACACTTCCCATTATAAACGTCTGTCCATCAAAAGGAAACGACGATATTAAATCACAAAAACTCAGGAAGCGAACAGTGAAATCGCGATGGATCGATAGAGAGGGAGCCTCGATGTGTGATTATCGCAAACTCCCGTGTGCTGTGGTACTGGTACCTAGCAGTTCAAACCTCTCCACCCATCAGATCTACCGAACTTCCTCTTTCTCTCTTTCTCCTGACAAGTTTTACATCTTTTGCATTTGTTTGAACCTGCCCTGTCTGACGCAGTTGGGTAGTAGGCATGCTTGCCGCGAGGAGCGCTGTTTCCAACTAAACAACAATCTCTGTTGCACGCAGGAGTGGAGTTGAAAGTCGAACACCCGCCAATAGTTTGAGCTTAGTTGCTGACCTAAAACTTGGTTGTGCGCTTCTGTTAGACGAATGCTCGTATGTACTGCGGTAGAACATTTGAAATTTCAAACAGCCGAATACTTTTGTTTTTCTACACGCCTTTGTAATTTTGAATTGTGTATGGTGTGACGTGTGCTGTACTTAATTTCGTATGACAGTATCAGTCTCAAATGCTTGAACTGTTATAAAGAAGCTTTATTCTTGCTAAAATACATTTGGAAATGATATTGTGTCATGACCTGAAAATGGGGACTAAAATGTGACGGAAAGCTGATCTGAAGGATTCACTTGCACAGGTATGAACACAGCAACTGGTTTTTCATAGAAATTTTAATTTGTTTGTAATGATTAACATCATGCATTAACCTACCAGTGATACATTTTATTGAACTGAACTACATGGAAAAGGCGATATAACTGCAGTTTCACTGCCTGCCCTGGTAATAAAATCATAAAAGTGGTGAAAGCATCGTTACAGATTATGTTCAATACTCATAAAAGGTCGCACCATAATGAATTTATATTCATATTTTCACAAGCATCTGTAAGTAAATAAATGAACGAGTGTATACACTTAAATGGCCCAAAATGTCATTTTGAAAACCCTTCTTTACGCCGCCAAATACAATTAAAATTTTATTCCGTTTATAGTCAACATTTTTAAGACATTTAAAAATTATTGAATTTCGTAATTAAAATACAGGCCATGGAAATGTGTCCATAAGTCAGAAGTAATTTATCGTTGCAAACTCTGTGTTTATTTCAGAACTGTTTTGAATGAACACTTTCAAAATACAGTAAAAGGTAAAGTTGATCCTATGCTTAATTATTTAAGCATTACGCAATGAAGACGTGTCGGGAAGTGGAGGTGTAGCTCCAACATTCTTGACGCACTCCCTGCCCGTTTTACACCCTTGGGTAAGTGCCCGAATACCCATTGGATAGGAGGCTGGTTGAGCCCCAGAACAGGCCTGGACGCTGTGGATAGAGAAAAGTTTGTTGCCCCTGGCGGAAACTGAACCCGGGCCGTCTAGCCTGTAGCCCCTCTTATGCTAACTGCGCTATCCCAGCTTTCTTTAAAATTATAGTAGTTACTCTATCACCTGCTCTAATATCAAAAACCCTGCAATTTGCCAGGCGAGCGTAATTATATTTAGTTTTCATATGATTCTCAGAGAGAAAAGAACCAGCAACTATTTCCCTCAGCAGTATTAAGCATTTGGTTCTTTTAATGGAGTCGCGTTATTTTCTCTGAGATAGAAATACTATTTACATTAATAAAAATTTCGCCCTATCGTGACCCTCCGAGAATTAATTCAAAATTTCATGTTAATGTAAACCTTCTAATGCAAATTTCAAAATTTCGATCACATGCAGTAACGTTCCTGCTCACATTAGCTCTTCTCGTATCAAACTACATTTCCTAACGCTTTACCCTCTACACTTCCCAACGTATTACCTTTTCTCCAACGTAGCATTACCAGAAGGACTAGCGGGCACTACGTAGGAAAGCGGGGACATTTTCTTTTCCTCCCCGCCTTAAACTGTAGTGTCCCTCGCCACTTCCCCTCCGCTTTCTATTCTCTCTGCCCCTTTTTCAGGCTTCAGTGCATTAATTAAGACAATTCCAACTTGAGCTGTGTGACCTACAACCAGACCAATTCCAGGGCATAAGAGATTACATCAGTGCGTACGTCTTCAAATTTTTACCTAATGAGCCTCATTTAAACTTAATCTCCCTTGAAGATATGTTCCATATGTGGGAGTACTTACATGAGAGAACTCTTCAGCAACAGAGTGCACATAATATCGATATGGTTCGATATCAGATAAATTCCTGTCTTACTTACTTTGCTGCTGCCGAGGGCCTTGAGGCACTAGGCTACAAGCCGGAAGGTTTCGGGTTCGATTCCCGATGAGGTAACTGGATTTTTCAATTTACCTAATCCTTCCAGCCGCACTATGACCCTGGGGTCGCCTCAGCCTCTAACACAAATCAGTAACAGGAATATTCCTGCGGGGTAAAGGGCGGCCGGCGCTTAAGGCTGACAACCTCACCGACATCCGTGAGCCGATTGTCTAGAAAATGTGGGACCCTCGACGACTCACAACCCTATGTGCCTCCACGGCCTGTTACAGGGATGGCTTTACCTTACCTTTAGCTTCACACTTTCGAAAGTGGACGCAACATTATGCTTTGTCGGCGGGCGATTTGCAATTGGATCGCTTCTGTAACTGCAACGTGGGCAAGAAACGAACCGACCCACATTTTGGGGTCAAAATCGATCTGTAGGCTATTGCTGACAGATCACCTTAGTACGGTACGGTGCTAACGTAGACTCCTATTGACCTAATTTTGAATATGCTCTAGCGTAGCGCAAATAATTAATGATAATAATTAATACAAACATTATGTTTCTGGGCATTATCCATCGTCCTGTTTATTTTTCAAAACATAGCGTTTCGGAGGCTGGATTCTGTCTCCGTCTTCAGGTGAAACCTACTCACTGCGTCCAATCGATAGAGCTAGTCCCTCTCTCCGGACCAATTATTTAATTAAATAATTAATTAATTAATCATTTTTGGTGATCCATTATATTTATTTTTCTTTTGTGAATTTATTAAATTATACAACAACGAAGGCTTTATAATAATTGTTGATCGTTAAAATTATTACAGAGGGCGTAAGTTGACTAAAGTTCTCTGCATCAGTAATATATTGTCACTTGTGAATCCTACGCAGTGTACCCCGTTTGTAACTTCCGTTGTATGAGGACCTCGCTTTTACATAGGATTAAACACAGGACGAAAGGAAAATAACATATTCGTGTTGGAGTTTATGTTCTAAGGATGGTGACTACGAGTAATACAATCTTCTAGGTAATTCGATTGAAGTATACTGATATTTCGGAGGAAAATATCAGCTCCATTTTCAGGGTCGAAGATTTTTCTGCTCTCAATTCACTCCTTTTCTCCCTCTTATAGGTCATTTATTGCTTGAGTAACTCTCCGAACCTAAATATAGAGGCGATAAGTTCCTCCGAAACGTCGGTGGACTGAACTATACTGTGTTAGGACACAGGAGATCCTATTCTACAATGTGCATATAATTTTGGCATATGTAAAAATCATTATGAAGGTTGTAAATTAATTAAAGGTTTCTTCATACCAGCGAAAAAGGAGCCGGGATAGCGCAGTCGGTAGAGCCACGGACTACGGTCTGGACGACTGAGGGGTCGGAGTTCGAGTCCTCGTAGGATCAAGAACTCCACGCATTCATGGCGTAGTGTTTAATTAGTTAAGCACACAGAAAACTTTACCTTTTTATACCAGTCAGATTTTGTTTCTGAGGCCAAAACATCCTAATGGTAACTTTCGTTGTGTAGACACTGGATTTATGGTTTTGCTATAGTTCGAAAGTGAAGAGAATGTGTATATTTTCTTGTGAAATTCAGATTTGTCAAAATTTGGCTTGAGCCCTTCTTGCTAAGCACCAAACTAACGTAAACTCTGCGAGAAGGCAAACCGACGAATTTGATTCAAAATTCTCAGATTTACGGAAAGCGTTGGGTTCTTATGTACACGGTAATGTGCTTCTGGGTTCCAGAAAGACAGCGAATTACTTCACGAACCGAGTGGCTTTTACTTCCTCAAGAAGGACACAACTTAATAAAAGTCATCCCTGTGCTTAACAAATTAAGCATTGCTCCATGAAGACGCATGGGGGAGTGGATGTGTTCTTGACCTCGGCACACTTCACAGTACGGACTTAAAGGGCCTCAAGTGTTCCCTGGAGAGGAGGTTGGGAGGTCCCCAGAATCGGTCTGGAAGCTGTGAAATCGAGAAAAATCTTGCCTATACCGGGACTCGAAATCCGACCCTCGGCCTTTCAGCCCGTAACCAGCCGCTATACCGACTGAACAGCTACATTAAGTTAACGTAATAAAAACCGTTCGTTTGTTCATGCCCCCTTGACGTAGTAGCGCACTCTGAAAGGCAGAAACATCGTTTTCTTCTGTAAGTAGGTGTACTACTCCTTGTCTTCCCCCCTGAATTCAGCAAGTGCAGACATTTTGAGTTTTCATGTAACGTCACGAAAACAAGTGTCAGGATTGCACTGCTGATTGCTTACCCTCGGGCAGTAGCGCCCTGCTCACATTCCTACACATCATATAATATTCTATGACGACTCGTCGCATCTGTGATCCGGAGTCTTGTGATCCAAGGACACGTAAATCAGCGTCCTTCTTATGCAGATCCAGCACGAGGAAGCTATCAGTCAAAATTCTGCGTTCAATAAATCCAAACCGCAACAGCTCAGTCGGTAGAGAGACTGGTTATGGGCTGAATGGTCGAGTGGTCCGAATTCGATTCCCCGTCGTTCATACCGACTCTGAAGCTCATCCAGAACCGAGGGCTCTTTCCCCGGGAGTAAAATTGCAGGGTCGTGAAGCTGACCCCTCTCCGCTAATAAGTGCCGAAGTCAAGAATACATGGATCTATACATCCGCTCCCCCATGCGTCTTCATGGAGCAATTCTTAGTGCTTAATTAGTTAAGCACAGGAACAACTTCACCTTTTTATCTTTTATTTATTTTGAAGGGTGTGGAGCTAAATGATGGTTATACAAAAAATATTACCGTATTTACACATGTATAGGCCGCGTGCGTGTATAGGCCGCAGCACAATTTTCAGACAGAAATTATAGAAAAAATAATTTTCTTGGAATATTATTTCAGGAGTAGAACACCCTGTATTACTAATTATGAATATAATTTTTTTTTAAATGAAGTGTGATTTCGAATATTTCGAATATAAGCCGCACCCCAGTTTTCCTCTTGAATTTTTGGCAAAAAATGTGCGGCCTATGCATGCGTAAATACGGCATTATCCGGAATACATTTGTATTACACTTCTAGTTTTTCCTACAACACACATCACATATAAATAAATTCTAAAGAGTTCTGATGAGAAAGTCTGGAATATGAAGTAGGAATGTTTTTCTATCCACTGCACGATGACGCTTCGGCTATACGCCGTGTGAGTTTCTCTCTTTTCAAAAGGGCACATGGTTAAAATTTAGGAGATATATGTTAGGAAGTTTTGAATAGGATTATGAGCCATACTTTGGAGGCGCATATGCAAGTGTGAGTTATAGTGACTTGAAGTAGATGAATCCTCCTTGATGCTAATATTCGCTTAGCTGGTCGAGAAATCAAAGGATCTTGAGCCAGATGAACACAATCCACAGACTTTACTCGAGTTATCCTCATGTTTAGGCCTGAGTCTCACAAAT